TGTCCCGACTCAACACTCTCCTGGTGGCTAGGAGATGTTAACTGTCTCACCTTGTATGCAGGAGGTCGTGGGTTCGATCCCGACCCTGACGCCTGCTGTAGATTTGGAGTTTGCATTTTATCTCTCCCCGTGGTGGTGTGGATTTTTTTCTGGGTCCTCCGGTGCTCCCCTCCACATTTAGAATCAACATGACGCGTTTAGAGTATTTGCCTGCTATACATTTCCCACTTGATAAGCTACTTCGTTGAGCTATTATTTGTGGTCAGGTCGCTTCTGAAAAAGAGTTACATAGCTCAGTGAGCTTTACATTGTAAAAACAAAATTTTGTTTTAACAGTTTATAGTTTTCCTTTGTGCCTCTGTCGCTGACTGACTCTCCCTATGACCTGTACTCACCCTCTCTTTCACTATAAATGTATTCTTTGGCCTTTAGCATTTTCGCCATATTTCTCTGAAGAAAAAAAAAACCCCACAAAATATCCCTATTCATCACATTGTCGCTACATATATGCATGTCTCCCCCCCCCCCCCCCACTATTCATACATCATCTTGTGATGTGGTCACATTTAAATACTTTATAAATCCAAGTTGAATTGTTAAGGCCAGAAGCAGGGGTGACAGGTGACGACAGGTGTCTGCAGAATCGTTGTGACATTTTTTGTCGCAGATTTTGACACACGTTCAGCCCAAAAGGATGTTGGATAAGTGTCTCCCTAGCACACACAAGGCTTCCCAAGCACAACACCTTCCACCCGCCGGCCCCTTATACATCCTTCACCCCTGGCACCCTTCCCCTTATCCCCTTCCTTCCCAACCACTCCTCCCTCTTTGTATGATTTGCTGGGTTTGCAGCCGGGTGTGGACTTGGACTCACATTCCTGCTGAGACCATCCAGCCAGCATGGGAATGATGGAAGGGGTTCCACAAGGGGGTTATTGAGCAACGCGAGCGCCCGATTACGTTGAAAATGCAGGCCGAAGCCGACGGACTTTTCCTCACCAACTGTTTTCACCGGCGAACAAGACATTTAAAATACTCTTATGCCAAAAACGGGAACATAAAACGCAATTATTCCCTCAGTTTACAAATACTTTCGTAATATTTATGAGAAAAAAAGCTTTGGTAAACCAAGCTCCAGTTACATTAATAGTTCATTTGTGGTGAACTTACCGTTTTTATTTATTTTACCTTTGATATGAGTATACAATAGACTGCCCTTTAAAGTATTGTCCCAGTGGCCAACACGTTCATTTTACATTTTTTTTACCTTGATCATTTGTGGGTTTTTTTAGTCTAATAAATTACACAATCATCCACTGTTACAGTTTGGGAGCACAGTGTAATTTTTTTAAACATGAATTAGAGTAATAATATTGCAGTATATCATACCTCTATTGCGTTATGTTCACAGCTTCCTTTCTGTTTCAGCCCTGGAAATATTCCCATGTGGAATAAGTTTCACAGTCGTGGCATTTCCCCCTGACACATCGCACTAGATACAGTTCTCAAAATGGGCCATCACGTTTGTACGTAAATGCCTTCCGTTGAAAATATACCCCCTTGTAAAGATCTACAAAACAAAGACCAAAGTGGTGGTCATTAGTCGTGCGACAGGACACTTAATAGGTGGGCTGCGTGAATGTATGTTGAACTTATTTCGCACCGTATGTAGCCATCCGTGCTAATCGGATGCGAAGGCGACCATGGGATTACATTTCTCACAACCAAGACCCACACCTGTCCACCCCTTATCAGTGCTGCCTACCTTATTGCAGATCTTACTGGTCACCCCGTGCCCTTGTAAATCTCAACGTTCATCCTACAAAGTCCCGTCACAAGGGAGAAACACCAACAAATAGCCAAGTTTTTTGCCCGTATTGAAACGGCTGTACTCCGTATGGACCTGAAAACTCAATTTCCCTGTAGGAGAATAGGGGCACACCGTATGGGTTGGCAGCTATGAAGACCTGTTTGCTCGAACCCACTTCCACAAACTCGTCTGAGGTCTAGAAAACCAATCTGGAGTCGCGGCGCGAGAGAGACAATTGGATGAAGAGCGGTCAACCGAGGGCCGCTCTGGTGACCACTGTGGGGTTGTAATGCACGAGGTCTCAAATACAACACACCTCCGAATGACCACGATTGGCTAGGTACGGTGCGAAAGAAGTTCAACATACCGTACATACAAGCCTCGTCGCCACTGTGTTGTTCGTCTCAAGCACTGAGTACGAACATTCAGTTTTATATTCATTATGTCGCTCAAGTTCATATGTACCTACATCTTATTCACCCTCTCATTGAGAATGCTCTTTTCTTCTTCGTTAAATCGCTAACGAAAAAAACATGCATCCGATTTCGGCAATATACAGTGGTTATGGTTTCAAACAAATTAAATAACTCGATGCCAAACGGCGAGCGAAGTAGAATGGCAGTGTTTACAGTGCATCGGGGCGAAACACAGATGTCTTTGTGCACGATTTAAATGCGGCACACCGAATAAATCTGAGGAACAGAATCAAGAAACCCACTGGTTGGGCTTATTGTTTCAGCAGCTTGTGTGGCGAGGAGCAGAGCCATTCCACATCCTGTCGACTGTTGTTGAATCCTTAAAACTGTCTCCGTGATTTAACTTGAAGCCAAGATCAACATTTTAAAATTGGTGTTTGCTCTTTGAAACATTAAATCCAAATTAATATTAATCGAGTTGAGTTTTACCATAGCTGCACCGTGTACAAATATACATCTGTATGATGTGTGTATTAGCACAGCCAATGCTCTATATGGACAGTATAGAGCATCTAACAGTAAGATGGCCAATGCAATTAGTACAATTTTGATAACAGTGGTTATCTTATAGAGATATTCTTTTGCCTCTTGCCATACGAATGTGGAATTAACACCATTGGCAATGACATTTATAATTTGCCATTAGGAATTAGCACCGCCTTTTGCTACTTTGAGCATGGATATTTCGAGATCATATGCAGCCGACAAAAGCTGAGAGGCAGTTAATGTTTTCAGAAAGGAGGCGCTGAATATGATGAGTGAGATTTTGATGGCAGTGGTGTGGTGCAAGAGAAGAACGGCGTTCATGTCAGCGATGTGAAACACGCGTTTAGAGTATTTGGCTGCTATACATTTACACATGATAAAAGCCACTTCGTTGAGCTATCATTCGTGATAGTCAGGTCGCTTCTGATAAAGAGCTATACAACTTTAGTGGGCCTTACCTGGTAAAATTAACAGAAAAAACGTGCTAGGCTCCCAGGTCAGGCAGGCAATGAGTTCCCTTCCCAGGTTTTTTTTCCAGATAAGAAATCCATACCGCCCGCCAGGGTGAACAGGTCTGGCGACAGCTCAGCACCCACTGATCATAAAAGAACCGCCCCCCCCATCCCACTCTCCCATTGTGCGCCAATGAATATGTTAACTCGTCAGCTTCACGTGAATGAGAAAACCCGTGATGGGAGTTCACTTGCGATCAGTGCACGTCCCTGGTTTACGTGACGGTTAACAAAAAAAACCCGCCAGTGTTTAATTAGAGTACAGTAACTCCAGGTCACTTTGTAACTCAGTCGAATTGATCAATAGCGTTCAGAATAGCAGCTGATTTGTGGTCACCACGAGGCTGCGATTTTTAAACACGTTTTAATATTATTCTTGGTTCTTTCGGTAAAGTCACGTAGAAGGGAAACAATAAAATAATACAAATATAAAACAATTAAATTCTCAGGACGTTTCGACTGCAACAGTCGAAACGTCGTGAGAATTTTATTGTTTTATATTTGTATTATTTTATTGTTTCCCTTCTACATGACTTGCCGAAAGAACCAAGAATATGAATCCCTGCAGTCACGAAAGCTTTAAATCAAAACGTTTTAATAATGTCGAATCGTCAATGACAATAACAACAGACGTTGAAACATGTGTTTATTGCACGCAACTGAAAGGACCAACCAAAGAGCTATAAATGAGAAAGCACTCCACTAAATATAGCACGAAGACATGAGGCGAGTATCCATGGAAACGTATAGATGACACCAATGTGAGACTCGTGGTTTGCTTCACAACCGCTTGGCTCAGCACCCCTACTATTTCCATCCTGGAGTCTATTACGATCCCCAGAGAAGCTGGCTAATATTGTTTGCAATAAAGAGAATGGATCATGTCCATTGCCAAGAATTAATTTTGCATTTTTTTTGGGTACCAAAATGTAATTATCCTTGTGTACAGAGAACGCTTTCATTTATTTTCTCTGTTAATAGCAACAAATAATCCGGTTATAGAATAGATCTTTAATTGTCGGGCCCGCCCCAAAATGAATGAACATCAAATTCAGCGACTTTTTCTCGATTTCCATAGAAATTGGACGAATGTTGTTCAGTGTATAAACAGGAGGGATAATGTAAAGTCGATTACATCGACCGGATGAGGTTGACCGATATGTCGGCGTAGTCTGTGCTGTTTCTGTTATGAGACAGGCAGTAGGAATGACCAAGCTGCTGGCCACGTTCTTATTGTGCTTTGTATTCACCGACAAAAAGCGAGACATTTTTGTTGTTGTTTTATTCCCTCCTCAAACAACATCACCAACACACAGAATCACACTCTTGTCTTTAGACCGGACGAATCCGATGAGCTCTGAAGCTCTTTTTTTTGTTGTTCCACGACTTCTCACGGTCAAAACAGTGGCACATCGAAGAGGCGGCGCAACAACAACAACAAGAGCAGCAACGGGCCCACAATTAGTGCCAGCGCACAAACAACAACTCGCCTGCCCCGTGGCCTTCTCCCACCGCTGTCGCCTCCTAAAACCATCGCTCCCCTTCCGTGTGGCCCTGGGGCCTTGCCCAACAACACGCCGCCGGCGGCGTTGCTCGCGACCCCCCCTCTGGGGTACCCCACGGGCCGCGATTTCCCTCCCCACACGCCGTGGCCAGCACCCCCCACCCACCACCCACCCACACCACCCCCACCCACCCACACCACCCCCGCCCACCACCTCGCAGCTGAGCGCGCGGCCGCGTCACAGGTGGGGGAGTAAGGCGCGCGCCTCGCGGCAACAACCGCACAAGCAACGCCGCCGCCGCCGTTGCCGCTGAGCACCTCGCAACGACCGCTCCGACTGCGTCCACAGTGAAGAGCAAAAGCATCGGCGGCGAACGACGCCGATGGGGTGTGGGACTTAAGCGAATTTAGATTATAATTTTTTTTTTGTTCCAATCACCTCCTCCCTCCTGCTCATCTCTTTATCAGCGAATAAAGAAGTCGTTAACATTGTCACGTAGAAAGAAGTTGTTGATTATTTTTTAAACGATAAAAAAAACTATTTAACAAAAAGAAACCCCCACAGAGAGAGAGAGAGAGACAGAAGTGTTTCGCCAAGAGAAGACGTCGCCTGAAAGTGGAGGTGAAAAAAGAGCGCGCGTGTGTGTGTGTGTGATGGAGAGGGCTTGTGATGATGGCTGAGCTGCTCGAGTGCTGACTGCTGACGGTGGTGATACTGCTACTACTGCTGCTAGTACTACTGCTGCTACTGCTGCTACTACTGATACTGGTGCTGCTACTACTACTGCTAGTACTACTGCTACTGCTGCTGATACTGGTGCTGCTACTACTACTACTGCTAGTACTACTGCTGCTGCTACTGCTGCTACTACTGCTGGTGCTACTACTGCTCGAGTGCTGACTGCTGCTACTACTGCTGGTGCTGCTACTGGTGCTGCTACTACTACTGCTGCTACTACTGCTACCGGTGCTGCTACTACTGCTAGTACTACTGCTGGTGCTACTGCTGCTACTGGTGCTGCTACTACTGCTGGTGCTACTACTGCTAGTACTACTGCTGCTGCTACTACTGCTGCTACTACTGCTGGTGCTGCTACTACTGCTGGTACTACTGCTGGTGCTACTGCTGCTACTGGTGCTGCTACTACTGCTGGTGCTACTGCTGCTAGTACTACTGCTGCTACTAGTGCTGCTGCTGGTACTGCTACTACTGCTGGTGCTACTACTACTGCTGCTACTACTACTGCTGCTAGTACTACTGCTGGTGCTGCTACTGCTGCTAGTACTACTGCTACTACTGCTGCTGCTACTGCTGGTGCTGCTACTACTGCTGCTACTGCTGCAGGTGCTACTGCTGCAGGTGCTACTGCTGCAGGTGCTACTACTGCTGCAAGTGCTACTGCTGCTACTGCTGCTACTACGACGACTGCTGCTAGTACTACTGCTGGTGCTACTACTACTGCTGCTACTACTACTACTGCTGCTACTACTGCTGCTACTGCTGCTGGTGCTGCTGCTACTACTGCTGTTACTACTACTGCTGATGCTACTGCTGCTGGTGCTGCTACTGCTGCTGCTACTACTGCTGTTACTACTACTACTGATGCTACTGCTGCTGGTGCTGCTACTACTGCTGCTACTACTACTACTACTGCTGGTGCTGCTACCACTGATGGTGCTGTTCGCGCTACTCCTGGTCTAGTGATACTGCTGCTGCTACTGCTGCTACTAATGGTGCTACAACTACTGCTGCTACTGGTGCTGCTACTACTGCTGGTGCTGCTACCACTGATGGTGTTACTCCTGGTCTAGTGATACTGCTGCTGCTACTGCTGCTACTAATGGTGCTGGGTTGCCCCTGGCTCTGTTTTTGGTTCCTGCTTTCCATGCATTGCGAATTTGGCATCCTCGGATGGAATGCCGCATTATACATTTGAATAATTATATTATTGTTGTGGACGACCCCACCAAAATGACAGAACGATGTGAACACTCCAACCTCGAACGCTCTCCGAGACTTACTTAGTAGACCTTTCAGCAACTGTCCTCGGTCGCCTGTTGAGAAGGAAGTGAGACTGAATGGGGTATCTATAAATTGTACGCCTTGTGTATTGGACCTGAATGTGAGATAGTCTGCACTTTAAAACAAACAAAAGCCCACAGTTTTGGCCTAGCGTTGTGCACGTTTAAAAAGTAACTGTGGTATGTGTGCATTCGAGTGTATATCCACTCGCGTTATCGCGGAGTTCGGCATTTAATTTGTTTTTTATTCTATCAGTGACAGCCACCTTATTTTGAATGTGCTATCGTTTATGCTCGCATCACCATGCCAGGTCAACATGGATTGTCACTTTTGGTGCCAACACGCGTCACGGTGTATTTGTGCCCCTTTTGCACGTGCAACTACCATTTACAAGTGTTATTACTGCGATGTTATTTATCTACGACGATTGCACCCGGGGGGAGCTCAACGGGCAGAGTCCTCATGCTCTGCGAGAAAATTCGCGTTCACCGGGGCAATAAGCGTTCACCAATACAGTCAATGTGGGTTTTTTGTGTTTGTTCAAAGACTACAATATGGGGAGGAGGAGGAGGTTGCTCGTGGAGCGGTTAAAGAGCTGGCACGTGTGCGATAGGCAAATCGTGATGTGAACACGCGCGACACTGTTTTCTTGGGGCTTGTTAGGTGCCGTTTATGAAGTCAGTGACGCATGTAAAAGTTATTGCTGCTCATTTCCCCCACCACCACCACCACCACCCCTCCTGCGTTTCGTGTTAAACGTCCCGAAGACAATCTCTGGCAACGTTTCTTGCACTCTGACGGTCATCGTAGATTCGCCAGGTTGTTATCAGCCAAAGACAAAGATTCCCCTCCCCCCCCCCCGCGTATAGCCTTGACAGAGTGTTGGGGCAAGTGCTATGAAGGCCGGAACGGTACACGAGGGGGTGGGTCGACCGCCTTTGTCTCCCCAGTGACGTTGTTTACACACCGCACCAGGTACACATTTGAGGCTGAGTCGACCTAGGGGAGGCCCCAGGACCAGTTCCAATAATCGTCACTGGTGCCGGCCGTGAGCGAGCGGGTCGCCGGGTTCGTAGCGCAGCGCGCTAACCGCAATTCAACCGCTCCCCACTGCTATCTGCCAATACGCACACACACTCGCACACGTGATTGGTAGCAGTGTTGTCACTGATGCGTCGGTGGGGCACGATTTGCGTGCATGTGTTTTGTGTCCGTTTTCCTGGGGTGCGATCATGTCTTGCTGAATATTACATGTGGTTAGGATCAGTATTGAGAGGTGGGGGGGGGAGAACACAAAAAAATCCCCATCCTAATGATTGACAGGTAGCATTTGATGAAAAAGGTTCTGAAAAGAAAATAGTGTCTCTGTGTATAAAGCACGGCCTTAATTGAAAGCAGAGCGGCTGCCACATGACATTATGGGCGTTCTGCGAAGACATGCTGATGGGTGTTCAGTGATTGCATCCTTCCTATGTTATATGTCAGCATGCTCTCACTCGCTTGTGTTGCTGTTGGGTTCCGGTTGATGATGCAGAGGAATAGTGGGGCGGTGGGAGGGCAAGGATGTGATGCCAAGGGAGGTTTTTTTGTGGGGGTGCTAAAGCGAAGAGGGCATTGGGTTTTGTGGGGGCCAAGTCTGGGCAAATTGAGATCAGTCACTCACCTCACTCTCCATGCAGCTGGACAGCCTGTGCCAGATTGATGTTGCTGTGTCATGACCTTTGACCTGTCTTGGGTCTTCTCATTTTCTTGTTTTGCTCTTTCACTTTCTCTGCCAATTCCTCCCTCTCCTTGCCCCCCCCCCGCCCATCTCTACAATGTTTGTCTTCACTCCTCTCCTGCTGATTTGATTCAAACCTTTGAGCCAGCTATTTTTTTGCATCTTCACCACAGCTGTTTTGGTCAATTGTCAAAGAGAAATGTTGTTTGAAAGGTTGTCCAAGAGCACGTGTTTTGGTGCTTTGTACTCTTCTTGCTGAGCTGCATCTTTCCTGGCCATTATTTTCTCATTTGTCCCCTATGTGTTTGTCCTTTCCTCGTCTTTTGCTCGACAGTTAACAAGTTGCTTCCTCCTTGCCCCAGTGCAGGCACATTTCTCCATGTACAATTTACACGGAGTATGTTTTGACAACTTCATTAGAAATGTGTGTGTTTTTATTTTTAAGTTAATGATTACCCTTGTAAACGTTCACTCTATTTTAATAACATAAATATAACAATTTCTACTGCATTTACATTGCAAATGTGTGCTCTTCATATCGTGCGTGATTTCTCCTTAGTTGGTTTTGTTACGATAATAATCCAATGTAGTGGCCTCCCCAGATATGGTTATACCGTCGTAATCATTTATGTCACGTTACTTTCTTCATGCAGTATGTCAGTGGAAAGATCATCGTGGTCCCTTGTGATTCCATCTGTTTGCAGTCCATATCCCCTGGAAAGTGTCGACGCCTGCACTCTGTAAACAAGGCGGCGAGATTACTTTTGGGAATCTCAATATCATAGGCGTAGCAGTTTATCCAGAGCTATTGGAAATGGGCCACCCTATGCGCCTTAGGTCACTGCCTTCGGGCAAGTGAAAATTGCGCTCGTTACAAATTAGCATTATTATAGGCAGTCTACTTTTCAGGCGCTATCTTTTCCCACGGTACGCTTGTGCTCGTTCGCTTACCTTGCAGCATTGCCTCGAATGCCACGCCGTGGAAACAATGAAAGTTTCATGTGAGAGCCTAATCTACGTGAAGACTGTTTGTAAGTGGGGGTTGTTTTTTTTTTTCAAAACCTCCCTTCGTTGAAAACAATCGTTGCCTTTTTGTCCTCTTTTTGTATCACATCAGGTGTGTGCTCGCTTGTTGGATAGGCGAGACGGGGACCAGCCGACCTGCTCGGCGCCTTGCCAGCCGTGGGCAAGTCGAGCGCAGCGGCACGCGTGCCCAGTCGTCGAGCGACCATGAGTCCAGCGCTGCCGCCGGTGATCGTGCTGGCGCTAATGCTGGCCTCGGCGTGCGGCGGCGGCGGCGGCGGCGGCGGCATCCTCGCGCAGTCGCCCCCGCAGCCGGCCGTGCCGCGCATTCAACTCAACTTCCGAGGTGAGCTGCGCCGGCGAGCCCTCGATAGTCCTCCGTGTGGATGAGACTCCTGCTGCAGTCCAAAGTGCTTCCCCGGTCGCGCTGTGCTGTGTTAGCTTTGACGGGGTTTTTTTTTGGTTTGCACGGCATCCTGTTTGGCACGAGAGACAGGACGTGTCGCGCTCCGCGCGATCGGAGCGTCTTCGAGAACAGTTCCAGAAAACTGCTCCGGAATATGCGACACAACCCTAACCCTAACCCACTTGGTTGGTTGGAAAAGAAGCTACATTGTACTGGACTAGTCAAGGTGGAAAGAAGCAATGCAATAAAACAGCAGCAGCAGTCACAACATCTAAATAGTTTCCCTCTCACCAATCAGGGGTTCACGCAGATGAAGCTCAATTTAGAGTTAATGGAAAGCAAAAAAAATGCTCAAATTATAAATAAACTACCGAATAATTACAAATAATAATCATAACGATACAGTAATGCAACAATTGTATGCGCATTAATATTTGAATAACCAGATACAGAGGAAGAAAATAAATAAATGAGTGCACATTTCTTCATTTTTATGTCCCATATATATAAAAAAGGGTTTTGTACACTTCCTGCCACACGGCCTTCTGGGAGTGCGTCATTTCAGCAGCCAAGTGAAGGAGCGGTGTCCTCAAGGTAATTTTGGAACAGAGCACAATTCACCCCGTGTAGCAGTGTTAGTAATGATTAGTCGGGATGTCTTACCCATAAAAACACATCCTCCTCATGGATTGTCCATTCAGGCACCAACAAACCGCTTTTTGCACATCAGCAGTTACTGTCGTCCGCTCAAAGGAATGGGCAGATGATGAATGGTCTGCGATCCCCACTCCCATTCTCGGCATTGTCTAAACGCGCGCGCTGTTGCACACTCCGCTGGCGTTTGCTCAGTGTTTGTTTCGCGACTCGCAGTCGGTCGAAGTGAGGCAGAGTTCACCGAGCTGCCCGTTCTCTCGCTTAGACGGTTTATGTGTCTGCTCCTCCTGGTGTCACGCCTCGCCCTCTCGAGAGAAAATGCTCTCTCTCCCTTTCTGTTTGCTGATTGTTGGTCCCATTGCTCATCGTTTTGGGTCTCAAGTTGCCGTCAACAGCAGCTGCATGTCGGTATAATGATGGTTGGTCTTCAACCTCGCGTTAACTTGAGATCAGTCGGGGCATCATTTTCCTGGAACACCTTGTACTCGAAACTTTTTCAAACTACTTTTATATTTGCACACGTACATTTAGCACTGTACTTTTATGCATATTATCAAAACTGCAATTAGTGGAGCTGTCAATAAATAAGTAAACAGGTTATTAAATCAGATGTTTATGGAATGCCTGCATTATCAGAGGTGTCGGTGTAAGAACGGTGACGATTGATCGCGTTCTCTTTACTGTAAATGTTAAATCAGTGGCTTTTTTTTTGCTCAAGGCCACGAACAAATCCAGAGCGCAAGAAACTAAACTCGACACACGTCAGTACAGTACGAATTGTGGATTTTTCTCATTCCGCGCATTTTTTAATGTTGTGAATAGTAAAATAGCCTGAATAATAACGGTTGTTTTTTAATCCCGATAGCACTATTTAATAGCCTTTGCCGAATAAAGGGCAGGCTTGTAGAGATTTTACCAAGGCCAGCTGAAAAAACAAACGGAAATGGTAAAAAAACGTGTTTTTATGGAATAACATTTGCGGCGCAGCTATTGCAGTAGGCCCCTCAGTGTGCTTAGCACCTGCTTGGGCAATAATGATTTTTTTTTCTTCACCTCATTGAACAAAGCCAGATATTCTTCAACTGCTCGCCACAATAGGCTCGACAGCCCACTTTACACTCGCTGATGGCTTTGATTGGTTCAGCGCAGCCGAAATTCCACGCCTGTTTTCCGCCCGGCAAAATTGCGTGCGCTCCGACGCCGTTCCCGCGAATTCGCCGCAGGCATGGCAGTCGTTACGCGTCCGCTTCGCTGCAGTGAGAATGAACCATCGCGCCTTTTTTGCAATTTTCTCCACGCCGTTTCGGCTGAGACTTTGTCGCAAGGCCGGGCGTATGCGGGACTGGCAACGCAACGGCGCGGGTTTGTGTTTAGACTCGCGCAGCATCTGTAGCCTTCGAGACGGGTACTGGGCGCACAATGCGGCGGAGCCACTGATAGGATCGTCTCATTTTGTCTCGGGGATTGTTTGACGACCTTTGCGCGTGATATCTGCGGACTTGGCGCAGGTGTGCGCGTGAAGTTGGTGGTTTGTTTATCTCGCCGTCTTTGTTGTTGCGCGCGTGCGCGTTCCTGCACGTGTGTGCGCGCGTGTATGGTACTTTCACGTATTTTGGGTATGTCCCTTGCTTGTAACGCCACAGTGCATTCAAATGAATGAAAGTGCAAATGAACCCGGTGCTATGTACTTGAGCTGTAAGCTGCTAACAGACTTTGTTACGCATTTATACAATATATTGAATTATGAGATCAATTTGTTAAGTACCGCAAGCACATTAACGTGTTTTCTTAAGCGAGTAAAAAATGTTCATGCCTGGCTGCAAGTGAGGGTGACGGGGGGTGGGAGGGCTTTCGCGAGCGCCTTGAGGCCACAAAAGTGTCGTTCATATACGGCCCTTTTGGATGCAGGTGCTCATGAAAGAGCAAACACTCTTGATTGTGGAGGGGCATTAGGAGTTCTGTATTTGTATTTGCTGCCACGTGGCGTAATGGTCAGCGCACTGGACTTGCGATCCAGAGGTTGCTCGCTCGATCTACTGACGTGGTAGTCGGCACGATGAGCACGTTCCTGAAATCTATTCCACCTCTGTCCACCCAGTATTGTACAAATGGATGAACCAACAACAGTTCAACAGGTTGTGTGTGGTGGGATAAAGTGTTGTGGGTACCGATGTTTGGGCAGGGTGGAAAAGCAGGCCAAATATCGTTCACCGTAACAATAAGAAATTCTTAAACCGTGACATATCCATGCATGAAAGGTCAATTATTTTGCTGCTTTTAATTTCCACATGATAAGCCACTTTGTTTAGTTATCATTTGTGGCCAGGTTGCTTCTGAAAAATGAGTTAATATCTCAGTGGTCTTTGCCTGGGATAATGGGGATGGTTTATTTGTATTTGTGTTTGGGTGATTAGTTTGCCTTGCTTGTAATATGCACTCCTATCGTGTTGTTGTAACTCTGTGTTCGTTGTCGTAACGTTCTTACCCCGTGCCCCGACTGGATATTCTGATTCACTTTAACCAGTTGTCAACATCCATAAGCACATACCTAAGGGTGGTAAGCAGGTCTAAGCAGTGATGTGGGAAACTCAGCAGGCGGTCTAGATGACACTGGTTACTCCAGGGACCGTCGCTCGAGCCTATTTCCTTACCCCGGTCACACCCTCACTTCACCTTTGTATTATAATTGCAATGGCCTTTAGCCGAGATTAATTGCCAAATCTTCTCCCAGCTGTGCAGGGGGATCACCTTTGACCGTCTCTTGTCATACCAACGCATGCATTATTGCAGCAGAGCACATCAGCTGCTGGCATTGCTTCTTGTGTGATGCGTCACGTTAGATAACAAAGAGACTGCAGTAAAATAAACCCACTGGATGTGTAATGTATTACTTAAATGCACACGTTTTTCAAATATTGACATTTTGGATAATGACACAATTATTACATTACGGGTGCAAAGATTCATATAGAGGAGGGGATTTGGCTTGATGAACACTAATGCCAGGTTTGTATTTCGCCTTTGGTTTATATTTTGTCAAATATTGTTGAAAGCATTGTTAAATGTCACGCCGAACATAGAGAGCTCTCAGGTTTGGGCAGAGGTCCGGGGGGGGCAGAGACCGGAATTTTTTTTTAAATGCGAAAGGGATTTTAATCGAACAGACAGGCTTTCTTTTATAAGGGGATTTCACAGCCTTTGGTTTCGGGGCATTGGCGCCACACGGGCGTTTGCACCTAGAAAAAAAAGTGTAGTCCGTTTCAGGTTGGATAAGTTGTCCATGGTTCAGTGTTCCTGGCTCTTGGAATGTCCGACTTGTGTCCGGCTAGGAATACAGCTCATTCTTCCCCCCCCCCCCACCCCTCTCTCTCTCTCCTCTCTCTTTCACGACACTTCCTCGACACGTTTACCTCGAACCAGGGACGTGTGTCACGCTCAGCACGTGCATCGCGACCCAAAGGTGTCGGTTACTGGGGATATTGTTAAGGGTAACTGAAGTTAGCGTAGTTGTTTGCCGGTCATCGGCTTGGCAACGGTTTGACTCGTCTGGTACTGTGCTCTCTGCCAAAACTTGAAAATGGCTGTACCCTTGAGGCAGATTGCAGTAATTCCTGTGAGGTCTGTAATAAAACCGCTCTCTATGCTGATGGAGCAATTCTAATGTACAGTACTGGGTAATGTAACTCGATGGCATTGACAAAAGGAAGCATGATTAACAACGGTGTTACAGTCTTTAAACCAAGAAAATCCCTCCGCTCCGTGAATGACAGTTACTCAAGATTAGTGTGTGCCCTGTTGCCTTTGTATCGATCACGTTTTTTTTTTGTTGGGGGACCATTCGCTAATCGTGCCCCAATCGTATAACAGGTTATTTTGCTGCTGGAATTGTGCTCTCGATTGAATGAATTTGTCTGCTATTGTATTTGACATGCTCCCCTGTGTGTGGATGATGTGCTCCGGAGTGTGTGTTGTGGGTTAGCCGTCAGTGAATGGACTATTAATTTCTGTGGCTCGTACCGGTGTGGCATTTCACGCGACAAGAGGTCACGCGACAAGGGTTAGGCAGGAATGTCTGAGCCCTGAGTTAGGCCCGGCTAAGATAGGGTGGCTATGGAAAGGTATTTAGGCAATATTTTTAGGGATTATTACGTGAGTGTGCCGACTAGTGTGTTTACAACCACTTTTGCAGGCAATACTTTCCCATGGCTGCAAGGTGTATTGTGTAGCTGTTGGAATGCCTATGCAGTTTTGCTCAACGTAGCTTTAATCGACTGCTAAATCCAGCA